TTCAAACGCGAGTTTTGGGCAGTAGAGTAGCACTTGTTGTCTGTCATTTCTCTGATCTCAAATGCAGACAGGGTTTTAGGTTTACGCGGCGCGATGCAATGCAACGCAATGCGTAAAAAGACAGTATAAGTCATTATAATCAGTAATTATGTCCCCACTGGATGCAACAAATGCCTCGTTTGTAATGGGTTTTAATGTTTTTGTCTCGTCGCTCCGGCCGGACACGGCATCAACAGTATGTGAGGGGCGTAACATTTCCGTCTCACGCTTGAGGTATTCGGCCAATCACAACGCACTGGATAGCTGGCCAATCACAGCACACCTCGCTTTTTCAGACCGCTGAGCTTTGTAAAAATCGACACGTTTCAAAAAGGCGGGGCATAGAGGAGAAACAATAATGTACAGTATGTGGAAAATAATGTGTTTTTTTTACTTTAAACCGCATAAACATATTTCATTATACCAAATACACAAAATAATGTTCTTTTTAGCAGCATTATATGACCCCTTTAAAGTGTTTTATGCAAGATTTTTACATTGACAAATTTGAGGTTGACATTAGTCATATTTCTGTATTTAATAAAATATGTAAAAAAAAAAAAAAAATTATCTTTTTTGTGTGCGTTTATTGCACTTTTGAGCTACTTATCTAGTTACTATGGATTTCTTACATGCATAGCCAGTATTCAAATTGGGGATGTAAGGATTGTATTGATATATGGCATATGAAAATACTCAAAAGAATGACAGCACAGCATGTAAAAATACTAAGATATGCTCTGGCGGAACTGTTCCATGGCAGGTCTTAAAGTTAAATGACAAAACATACTCACTTTCACGTATTCGAGAATCGGAATATCAGATTGTTGATGACATGGTAAGTTTGTACATATTTTGAATAAAAAAGGAAAAACTAAATAAAAGCGATACTGTCATACAATGTTATTGTGGCTGCGGTGTGACAAACATGACGCATCGCTATGGAATCAATAAGGGGAAACATTCTAAAATAACATTCTTAATATTTGACAGGCAATTTTCGGTCCATTTTATTTTGCTTTACAAATTTGCTTCCACAAATTCGCTGTTTCAAATGTGGCAGAATATTCAGCATTGCACATCCGGGACCTGCAGGAATAGCAGTAGAGTACAGATGCATGATCTCCATCTGCTGTTATTCGCTCACCAGCAGGTGGTGTAAAGCAACCGGTAGGGCAAGTCATTCATTCACAAAAACTAATTTGCAGAAATGGAGCAATCAGTAAGTATATGTTATGATTATCAGGGCCAGTATATATGCCACAAAGCTGTGTTTACATTTAATTCGGCATCATTGCAGTTACTCATTTCCCCATGTAGTCTACATGTATGCAGCTTTCTCTACTGCAAAGGAGATTATAACAATATTCTCCCTGACAGTGATGTACTGATCAAAATTACATCTGAAGAAGATATATATTGCTTTCGGTTGTTTCGTTTTCTTTTCTTGCTTTGTGCTATCTGTTGGTGAGTGACTAACAGCAGATGGAGATCATGCAGGAATAGCAGTACTCTACTGCTATTCCTGCAGTTCCTGGATGTACAATGCTGAATTTGAACCACTGAATTTGTTGAAGGAGATTTGTAAGTAAAATAAAATTGACCAAAAATTGACAGTTGAATATTATAAATCATTTTTAAACAGACTGAATATTTTAAAAGTGAAAGGGCAAAAATGGATTATTGAATTTTGAATTATGGAAAATGTGTTAGAAATATTTTTCATTTAAATTTTCACAGCTTAAATATAATCAGGATGAATTTTAGCTCCTAAATATGCAACCCCCTGTAATGCAATGCATTTTTTTTTTCAACTCAATTCAACAACAACAAAAACAGGAAAGCTGAAGTACACAAAAAGCATCACAATAGCATCAACACTAATAACAAATAACCAGGACAACTAAGGAGACAGGAACTAAATTGAGGAGGCATCAATACAATTCTGTTTTCAACTAAAAACTTACATTTTTTATGCATTTTGGCTGTTCATTTACACAACAACAGTATTTTTGGGCTATTTAGGGGTTAAATTGGATGGTTCATTGTTGCCAGCGATATGATATTAGCAGATACCTCAAAAAGATTCTGTGATACGTAACCATTCGATTCAGGGGTATATCAATCGATATATCGATATTATATATCATTTGACTGCATCTAACTAAAAAAACAAAAAACTCTCCCTGTTCTAACTTGCACTAATCTGAACAATGTCTGAAACTTTGTATTGCAAGCACTTCCTGTGTTTATTTGCCTCTTTATGATTAATCGCTTGTTGTATTTTTCAGTTGTAAGTCAGTTTTTGATAAAAGCGTCTGGTGAATGAATTAATGTAAAGTGAAAATTTTAAATGCACTAGTCTTCATTCAGAGCTACTGTTATGTTTTCAGATGTTTTTTTCACACATTGTTTCAACATCGCCAAACACAACAGAATGATCTTCTTCCTTCATGCCAGTTTTAATGATTAACTATTTCAATAGCAAACAAAGCAAGATACATGCTGTACATCCTCTCTCTGGTGCAGAGTATGAAAAGGTTATGAAACCTAAAATAGGTTAAACCAATTATACTGCACATTTAAACATAAAAGTGAATGTTTGAATAAGATTCCTGCCTTTTCCAATCAGAAACTGTATTGCGGTAGAACTTCAGCACATCTATACACAAATAACAGAGACTATATCACACAGTATTATCATTTTTCATTTTTAAATCCGTTAGAAAAACATGTTTATTACTTACCAACCGGACACCAAAAGCACAAACAACAGAATACAAATGTGAGCAACATTTTTTTTCAGTAGTTCAGGAGTGTGTAATACAGTTGTGCAGAGACACAGTCAATGTGATTACAATGACTTCAGTATGTGTGTTTCACAGTAGTTATTTGGGGCCAGTACACTGCGTACACACCTCACGCACCGGATGCCTGCGCGCGCCCAAAGACAGTAGTTGGACATAGCGGTGTATTAGAGGTAAAAAATTATATAAATACTGTTCGGTTTCTGGCACAAACCGATCGTTTCGTGTCTTAGGACATCAATGTGTCGTCACGAGCCGCAGGGTTTAATTTGGATTTGTCTGTGCATGTTTTTTTTACTCTCATAGATTTTGTTACCATTGCCATGCATTATACGACTGATAGACTGCAACGGTTGGAGTTAAAAATCATCATATGTGTTCTACTGAAGAAACAAATTCACCTACATCTTGGATGCCCTGGGGGTAAGCAGATAAACATCACATTTTCATTTTTGGGTGAACTATCCCTTTAAGTCTTAAGTCCTTTCCACACTGAGCGAAAAAAAGCAAAACAAATATCGGACGCGATGACGCTCTGGAATAAAACGACAGATTCCTATGGATGCTTCCACTTAGACCGCGAACATTCGCACACCGAAAATGCGAATGTTTTTTTTTTTCGAATCAGTCCGACGAATCTTTTCAGTTTCGAAAAGCGAAAACACAGGCCGGCCAATAAGATTGAAGACTGTATTAAAGACTGTATTGAGCACGAGCGTAAAAACACTTTCAACCAACATACAAAAAATATGGATGTCGAGATGTTGTTGTCATTGGAGTCTGAACATAGAGAACTTTTTGACAAAAGTCACACTGACTACAAGAACCAGGACAAAAAAATAAGTTTTGACCTAGTGTTTTTCGCCTAGTGTTGAGGCGTCAAATACATTTTCGGTCAGTGTCACTTACCGTGTAGGCGTCAAATTGAAGATGCGAACATTCGTTTCGCCTTTGATGTGAATATTCAATTCGCCGGACATTCGTCTTGCTTTTCACATCGTACCTTTAGAGTACATTCTATTGCTTCCAGGACTTGTCTCCAAACTCTCTAAAAAGTTTATCTCTATCGGCTGCTCCCGTCAGGGGTTAAACCCAGGGCTGGATTGGTAATCGGGCATACCGGGCATTTTCCCGGTGGGCCGACGCACTTAAGGCGCTGACAGAAGGTTTTTTTTTTTTTTGCCGATGACCATCACGCACGGACAGCGAGCAGCCAGTGGCCCATTGGTTTGTCTCCTGTATTCAATGCAAATCTGCGTTCTCGCTTTGGCTGGCACTGATCCAGAGACAGATGCGTTTGTACAGCGCTGCATTATAACCAATCACACACGATTCTGTTGAGCTAATGAATGCAATGGCCAATCAGAGGCATTCAGATCCCGATTACCAATCCAGCCCTGCTGCAATGCAAATCTGCGTTCTCGCTTTGGCTGGCACTGATCCAGAGACAGATGCGTTTGTACAGCGCTGCATTATAACCAATCACACTCGAGTCTGTTATCAGAGACGTTCAAATGAGTCATCTCATCGCTGAAACGCAGTGTTTTGTTCACTTGCTCGCTGACTGTGCAGATGTGCGTATGAATGTAAGTAAGATATTCATTTCACAGTTTAAACAGCTTCAGTGATTTAAATGGGAGTTTTTGAGAGTGCCTGAACTCTGGCTAGACTGAAGTGAAAATGTTCTTTGATCATTTAAATGTTCTTTGCTATCTGTAAAATGAAAATATTATAGCCTAATATAGTAGCCTAATTTACAATATTGTTATTAAATTCACATTAAATACAAAGTCAGTCGTGTTAAAAAATATTTTATGGCATGACACCCATATCAGGCCTATTTAAGTAAAAAGTCGGGGTTTTATGTGTAGTTATTAATAGATTACACTATTACTCTACTTTGTCACCCACAAATAACAATCTGGTACAAAAACGCATTTACTTACACATGTTTGAGAATCGAGATATTTCCTGATACACGTACAAAAAAAACATAAACCTATATTAGTTATACAGTGCTATTGTGGCTGCTGTGTCACATGACAAGCATGACGAGCAAAGATCAGCATTTATCTGAAATAAAAAGCTTTTGTAACATTATAGGCTACATATACCATTCAAAAGCTTGGAGTCAGTATATTTTTTTCCCTTGGGAAATGATAGAAATTAATACTTTTATTTAGCAAGTATGCTTTAAATTGATCAAAAGGGATGATAAATAAATGTATAATGTTACAAAAAAATAAAATTTCAGATAAATGCTGTTTTTCTGAACTTTCTATTCATCAAAGAAACCTGAAACAATTCTACTC